AGACGTCAAGATGTGAGGCAAAAGAAAATAAATGAGTGCTATGAAGGGGCTTCTTCAGGTAAAGGTTATGGATTTAATGCTAAGAGGTCAATTATAAAATTTCTGTTTTGTAATCACATACCAGCTCATGTTGCCACCTCCTCATATTATCAAGTAATGATTGATGAGATAACAGCAGTAGGAAAAGGAGTTAAATGCCCTACATCATATAAGATTATAGGCATTTTTCTTGATGAAGAAATTAAAGAACTTAAACAGTATTTTAGCTCTTATTTTCAAAAAGCTAATACATATGGACTTACCATCATGCGTGATGGTTGGACAGGGCCTACAAGATTGTCCATCATCAATTTCATGGTTTATTGTGATGGACAAACAGTTTTTCATAAGTCATTTGATGCATTAGGAAATACACATGCAAATTACTTGTATAAATTGATTGATACAATTGTTGATGAAGTTGGAGCAAAAAAAGTCATTCAAATAAGCACTGACAATGTAAGTGCATGCAAAAAGGCTGAAAAGTTATTAGAGCATAAGAGAAAGCACTTATATTGGACTACATGTGTAGCTTATTGTATTAATCTAATGTTGGAGGATATTTCAAAACTTCCACATGTTGCTAAACTCATTAAGGAATGTTGGAAAGTTACAAATTTTATTTATATCACCATTCAATCTTTCATTTAATGAGACAACATACAAATCGCGAGCTAATACGTCTAGGGCCTATTAGATCTGCAACAAATTTTATTGCACTTCAAAGCATTCTTAGTCAGAAAGCGGGTTTGAAGGCTATGATAGATTCTAATGAATGGAGACAATTGATAGCAAGATCAACATCAAATGGAAGAGATATGAAAACCATAATCAGTGACATTAACTTTTAGAGGCAGTGTGAACTATATTGCCAAATGATTGAACCAATTATGAAACTGCTAAAGATTGTAGATGGTGAAAAACAAGCAATAATGGGTGTTGTCTATGAAACCATGCGTAGAACATGTGCTACTATTGAAAAAGACGGTCTAAGATCTTGCAAGCAGATATTAACTATTATAGAAAATAAATGGAATAAGCAATTTTTTCATGATTTGCATGCAATATGTATGTTTGGTTAGTCATTTTTAATTATATTTACATAATTTGAATATTTAAATTGATATTAATAATATTTTGTTATTTTTGAATTTTAGCATATTATTTACACCCAAAATATCAATACTATTTGGATTTCGGTGTTAATCAAGATTTATTAAGATCCTTAAGGCTTGTTATCATAAAGCTGGAAAGAGACGAAGATAAGGCAACTAGGGCATTACAAGAGTCTTTTGGAAATTCTTCAAGCAAAAGATTAAAAAATAATTTTGATCCAAATAATTTAATTTTTATAACCTTTATAATTTTAAATATTTGATGATAAATTATGTATTATACTAATATATGATTTTCTTTTTTTTTGTAGCTCAATGATGATTTTTATTTGGAGAAAGCGCTTCAAATCTACAATCTATTGCAATGAAAGTATTGTCACAAACTGCATCATCTAGTGGGTGTGAATGTAATTGGAGCACTTTTGGCATACACTCAAAGCAGCGAAACCGTCTATCATATAAGAACTTGAAAATATTAGTTTACATCTACTACAACATGAAGTTAAATATTAGAAATTTTATAAATGATAGGAAACATTAAGAGAGATATTTTGATCCCATAAATTTAGACGATCCGCTAATAAAATGGTTACAAGTTCAAAGTGCTGAAAAAGATACAATGTTGCTAGATGAACTTGATGATCCACTTAGACCCCATTTGTTACTAAAACATTACATGTAGATATTGATAGTTGGGTTGAAGAACAATGCACCCAAAGGGATATTGATGAAACACAATCTGCTGATAATAATGATAGAAATGATAGTCATGGTAGTGATGGTGGTAATGATGGAGATGGCAATGGTGAAGAAGGTGGTGGTTATAGTGAAACTCAATATACACCATCAAGAGGCAATGTTGATAATGATGATGGGATTGTATTTACTGAATAACAATATTTTGATCATGCCACACAAGACTAAGATCATTCTAGCGTAGAACTAGACAACCAAATCGTAATCGTGAAAAACAATTTCATTATTATGATGAAATGATGCAAGACTTTACTAGTATGAATTTGTCTTCATCAACTTCAGGATATGATTCATATGATTGTAGTTATGATTATGATTCATATGGACATGACAGTTCTTACTAGTTTGCAGTTAGTTCTTATCTCTTTGGTTCTGGTCCTTCTAACGGATATGATGATAGTGGTAGTGTATTTTCACATGGATCTGGAACACAATACGTCCCTTAAAAGAGATATCAACAAATTTTTAATGAGTTCAGAGATTATCATCACAATTTCATGAGTTGTGACCAATATTAYAATTAAATTAGAAACATGCATAACATTAAGATTAGCCACCTCGACCTCGATTATCAACCTCCACGTAGCTCCATGTGGTATTAATGCTAGGTATGGTGTTAAATGACTAAGCCTTTTTATTATCTTCTTAATAATTTTACTTATATGCAATATTTTCTCATTCTTAATTATATATTTTTATGTCATGAAAAGTTTAACATTATTGGATTGAATTCACTTGGGTTACAGATATTGCACTTCAAAGGTATTATGACAAGTACAATTTAATAATAAATTTTTATTAAATTGAAACTATAAACATTGTTTGGTAAAATTTGTAATCTTATTATGACATGTACATAATTTAGTTACTATTTATTGTTGGTTATAATGTTTTTCTTCTTTTAACTTATTAAAATATGCATTTTCCATATGTTTATACCTTATTTATATATAATTCATCTTTAAACTTGATGTTATTAATGTATTTATATGATTTTTATGCATTTTTAAAGCGTATCCAAGCGTTTCCATTCCAATTGTGCGTATTCATGAGTATCCATAGCGTATCCGTATTCGTATCCAAGCTATTCGATACGATATGCGATATTAATTCTTTAATCCTTGCTCAAACCCGATTCCTGGCCAAAAATCTTTGAACCGGTCAATGACCCATCGACCTGGGCGATTGAATCATCGACCTGTTCAACAATTTTTGGCCATTTTTTATTTTGATTATATTTTTTAAATTTATTTTTAAATTTATTTTTAAATTTTTATGTCAAAATGGGGGCCATTCGTTTGAATTGGATGGTCGAACCGCTGACTCAAAAACCGATGGCCAGAATGGACCAAAACGGACGATCAGACCAGAAAAACCGTCCATTTTACCCCATAACCATTATTTTGCCAAAAACCATTGATTTGGTCAACATTAAAAAATTTAGGTGATTTTAGAAACATAAAAAAACCATTGATTTTATAAAACATAATTTCACACAAATTTAGGTGATTTTAGAAACATAAAAAACCTTTCAAATCGATCAGAATTGAAGCTGACATAAAATCACTTTTATGAAAGCACTTTTATAAAAGTAATTTTATTATTTTATTAAAAGTACTTTTACGAAAGAACTTTTACAAAAATACTTTTACAAAAGCACTTTCACAAAAGTACTTTTATGAGAGCAATTTTATAAAAGTAATTTTATCATTTTATGAAAAGTACTTTTACGAAAGCACTTTTACAAAAATACTTTTACGAAAGCACTTTCACAAAAGTACTTTTCTGAAAGCACTTTTACAAAAGTAGTTTTATAAAAAACACTTTTACAAAAGCACTTTTATAAAAACACTTTTACAAAAAAAACTTTTGCGGAAGTACTTTTTATAAAAGCACTTTTATGGAAGTATTTTTATACTTTTATAAAAGCATTTCTACAAAAGTACTTTTATAAAAGAACTTTTATAAAGCACTTCTACAAAAGTACTTTTACAAAAGCACTTATACAAAAGTACTTTTATAAAAGCACTTCTATAAAAGTACTTTTATAAGAATACTTTTATAAAAAGCACTTTTGCAAAAGTACTTTCATTAAAGTGTTTTTTCAATGCCGAAAGTATTTTTTGTAATTTTCATATTTTTTCTGTTTAATATATTTTTGTAATTTTTTATATAATTTTTGATATTTCATTCGATTTGAATTAAATCCAATCTAGTCTATTTACATTTTAATGGATTGGATTGGATTTGATTTATATTGGATTTGGACAGGATCCAATCCATTTGTAAGCGAACTCACATTGGACTAGATCGGATTGGACCAAATCTAGTCCAATTGACACCTCTACTTAACAGGAAATTTAATTCTTTGATATCAAGAGGCAAACCCAGACGAACATAGATCAGATTGCAATGCCAATGTTGTTTGTGTCATTGTGTGGGGAGAAGAGAGAGGGAGACGACAATTTTGGAGTCAGTCTGGACTTCGTTAGATTTGAATGTTAATCGTAAACGGAATATTGCCTTCTATGAAATTGCTTCAATGCTCACAAGACTGCATTTTGCAGCCTTATATTGGGAATATCTTTACATAAAAAAATATACAAGCAAGGAGCTATTTTCGATAAACATTGTAAAAGGCTATACGAATGGTGTGGACACAGTCTTGGTGACGGGATCTGCTCCTCACAAATGAGCGTCTCACATGCACATCCACCGTGCATTGGGAACATCTTCCATGAATAATAACGGGAGATGTTCCCAATGAATGATAGGATGTACGTGTGAGGCGCCAGGTGTGAGGAGCAGATCCAGTCTCACAGTCTTGTTAGCACTTAAGCATAAGACAAAATTTTCTATCCTGGGAGAGACGGGATCTGCTCCTCACACTTGGCGCCTCACACACACATCCTACCATGCATTGAGAATATTTCACGTACTTCCTAATTATTATTCACGGGAGATGTTCTCAATGCACGGTGAATGTGACTGYGAGGCGCCCATTTGTGAGGAGCAAATCCCCCGCTTCACATAGGGATAGAGGATGCGAGTTCTCACAAAGATATTTTCTTGCTGACGCGGCAGAGAGGGGCTTAAACCCTAGTAGAACAACTATAGAAGAGCTCATTTTTGCTTCTTAGCCTTCTTAAGCCCCTGGAGTCTTCTTCACTTCATTTCTCTGCTTCGTGGTTTGAAGGTAGGATCCTGTTAGCAACCCTAGTTTTTCTGTATTTCTCTTATTTATTAGATATCTATTTATTTTTCTGTCTGAAGATTTGAATGTTTAGGTTTAGATTCCTCCTGATCGATTTTCTAGGTTCTGTTCTATTTTTCTTGTTGATGATTTAGTAGTTGATAGTTGGTTAGAGATCAAGTAAATTTTGGCGTTGGTGTGATCTTGGGGTTATGCTTTTTCGTTTTCTTCGCAAGTTTCAGAGGAAACCCATAAACTATTTGTGTTTCATTGTCTTTTCTGAACCTTTAAGAGCCATGATTTGTTGATTGAGGCATAGATGCACGCACTATAGGAAAGATAACTTTTGGTTGTTGTAAGGTGGGACGGTACAGATGTAGTTTTAAGCTTGGTTTGATCATATCTCAAATTCTATATTAATATGATGGTATTATGACTTTCTTCCCAGCCCTTAGGTAGTTAGGTTGCACGTTTTTTAGGCTTCTAGCTCTTCAGAACAACCTTTCTAGTATCAGTTTACTATCTGCCAGTAACTGTTCATTACTATCAGATCTTGCAAGAAAGGGGACGGGAAATGGTGGTTCTTTTTTACATCATTGTTTTGATGTGATTTTATGATCAATGTGGTTGATTGTGGTTTGCTTTGATTTCTGGATGCGAAAAGAAGCAGCTTGTGCAAAGCACTTGCTTGCTTCATGGTTAACTCGAGGATACTAGTAGTTGAATCATGATTGCTCGTAGGACCTGCCAAGTTTTGAATTTGAAAGAACAGAACAATAGGATGACCAAAAGGTTAGCTTCCTGTTGACATGTTGATATTTGTATGATGAAAATTGGAAAATATTAATTGTTCTAGAGCATTGAATATTGATAGTTTGAATTCGGGATCACTATACATGGTCAAGCCTATTAGACAATTATTTTTTTTTTGAAAGTTCTCTTTTAATAGCTTGAAGTTCATGTTGGTATGTTTTCTTGGGGAATTGTTTGAATCGGTTGGCATTGAAGGGAACTGTACATTTGAAATTCTCTTTTCTGCAGGAGCTTAAAACCAGAAAGTAGAATAAAATCATTATGGCATTTTCTAGTAGAATTGGTGGCCTTATGAGGCAGAGCATGTCAAAGAACATTGTATCAAATGGACCGGTTCCTGTCCCAGCTATGGTTAATGCCATTCGTTGTATGGCTACAAAGCTTTTCATTGGAGGTATGCATTTAAAGAATGCTGTCTTGTGTCATTACAAATACATATTGTATTACCGTTTTACTAATGGTGAGATCCTCAATGGCATTAGGTCTTTCATATGGGACTGATGATCAGTCACTCAAAGATGCATTTTCTAGTTTTGGTGATGTAACTGAAGGTGAGTTATAATGTAGGTGCTGTATGAAGTAGTGATCTGTATGCTAACAGGTGAAAATGCAGTATCAGTGCATCAAGAACAAGGGCAATTGAATTATTCTGTGGGAGTATTAAAAGTTTGGATTAAGTTTTTTCTGTTGTTTCCGTCCTCTTAATCATCAAGATTATCATTATCATCCATGCCTTATCCCAACTATATGGGGTTGGTCCGGTTGGATGAAGTCTTAACCATGTCTGTTTTGGTCTACCCTGATTTCTTCTAGACAAATCAGGATCCATATCATTAGAGTTTCACAAAACTTTTAATGCTGGGACTGGCAGTGTAAGACAAGTTCACACTGGCGGATATGTTTTCCTCTTAAGAAGAAGTTAATTTTGGAAGTATACTCATTAAAGACAAATCAAATTTAGGCTATTATTCCCTGTAATCTTACAACGAGTAATTGAACTGATGGTTTATTTGTTGTGATGCAGCAAGGGTTATCACTGACAGAGACACTGGAAGGTCCAGGGGATTTGGTTTTGTGAACTTCAGCACTGATGAGTCTGCAAGTTCAGCACTAGCCATGGATGGCCAGGTTTTAACGAGAAATGAATGTCACTTATCTGATGTCCCTGCATGCTGAATGGAATGAACTGACACTAGGTGTTTCCTTTTTCAGGAACTAAATGGGCGGAATATTCGTGTTAGCTATGCTAATGATCGACCGCGTGGTGGCAATTTTGGTGGCGGAGGCTTTGCTACTGGTTACCGCGGTGATGGAGGAAGGGATGACGGGTTCTAAGGACTATTAGCTTTTTGTAGGTATGCAGGTGCTCTTAAGTTTTGCCGGGTTCTTCTTCTTCTTTTAATGGATTTGGTAGACCACATCGATATGATTTTAATACAAGTTGTCTACGCCTGTTTCTTCTTGCTTACTTCTCGGGTACCAAAAAATTTTAACCCACATCCTCAAATATGCAAGTCTGAACGAATCACGCATATCCAACCACTTGCTATAAGGAAATAACTTTTYCTATGCAATAAACACCGTCACATGATCCGTTATTTTTGTGCAATGTTACACATTTAAGTTATAAAGGTGATCACTCTGGGCTAATCAGGTAGAGGTGCAACTTGGGTGGGTCCAACCGAGCCTGATCCGACCCAACCTGAGTTTTTACACGTGGTGGGCCTGAGTTGTTGGGCTATGGGCTGGGCTTGGGCGAGAAAACTTGGACCCAATCTAAACTTGGGTTGGGTTTGGTTTGAGGCCTTCGATAGCCTGAGCCCGACCCAAGCCTGGCCCAACCCAACCAAGCCTGCCCGATAATATACATATGAACATACATGTCTATTACATTTATATAAAAATATCTTTTTTTTTTTTTTCTAATTATGTGTCTGTGATGAAAGTTTTGTACATATTTTGATTAATTTTACTTTTATTGGGCCATAAAGCCCAACTTGACCTGGCCCAGATCAAGGTCAGCCCAATCAGACTTGTGTTGAGTTAAGTTTGGATTGGGCTGGGGTTGATAAACTTGGGCTTAACATTGGGTTGGACCAGGCCCAAGCCTGAGGTTTGCACCTTTAGGTGCCTGGGTTGACCTTCAGGTGAAAAGGGCCATTTGTTTTGTTACAAGCCAGTGCAGGCATACAACAAGGGCAAGTTCTATTTAGGCTTTGTTTGGGAATGTGGTGTTGCGTTTTTGTTTATATTCCATCTAAGTGTCATCTAGGCATTTTGGCTTTAGACGTGTCAAAATCATGTATGGTTTGGCAGATTTAACATCAAATATTTCTACCATCCTTTGCATAGAATATGTACATGGGAGCCGGGTGATCATTAACTGCCTGGCCTGGTTATTATGGGTTAGGCTGGGTTTGGCTTAGCACCTATGGTAAGGGGGGTTATAGGCTTGGYTCAGGCCTGTGCTGGGTTTTGGGCCTATGGRATCAAATAATCAAAATGTAATTATTTAATATTTTATATTATATTAAGTTAGCATATGTAATAAATTGTTCCATGGGACTGGTCAGAGGAAACAGACTAGCTAACAACCATCTAGGGACTGTTGAGACTGGCCATATTATTGCACTTGAATATGCTGACATGATTGTTGGGACTGGCCCTGGTTCTTAATTGTATGGAATTGTGAAGGAAAACCTGTAGAGCCAGTGGTTGAATGGAGTACTGCTAGCATTAATTTTCACGGGGACAGTATCAAGATCTCATTCTGGGATGAGGATTTCTACTTGAGATCTCAAACTGGGATGAAGATTTCTGCTTGAGTTACTATCTCCAACAATGTCTCAAGGTGTTTGGATGGCTAGAGGTAATAACATGGTCCAGCGCTAGCTGTTTGTTTGTCCTGTTTCTTACTTCTATGCTGTTTGTTTGTCAAACTGGGATGGAGATTTCAAGTCAAACTCCACCTTAGTTTTGGTCGTGGTCAGATCATTAATATGACGAAATTTAAGGTGCATTCTATGGAAATTGCTACAACATAATTCAAAATGGGTGATAACGTGACATGTAATAGTGGTAGTTTTGAAGTTGAAAATTTTTAATTATTAAATACATTTTATTAAAATTTCAAACTCAATTTGCATCTGTATGACACTGGGATTGAGATTTTTCGATTAGGGAGTTAATTGGCTGCAAAGCTTGTAATGTGATGTTCCCTCCCATGTCGAGAGCCATCGATCACATCTTRACAGAGGGAAGGCCGAGTATATGAATTGTGCAATGTTATGGGTGGTGTGGATGGTCTAAGAAGATGTCTAGCAAAGCTCTCTGGGTATTTTATTCAAAACAATTGGGTGATACGTATCAACAAAACAACAAAAGAGTAAGGTTTACATGGGGTTTGCATCTTTTACAGTGGGGCTCATGAACTTGTTACTGGCGTGGAACTTCTCATTGGTTCCAATAAAAGTATTTCGGAACTTCTGTTTCTCTTTTACAATGGGGCTTAAGAATTTGTTACTGGCGCGGAACTTCATCTTTGGTTCCAATAAAAGTATTTCGGAGCTTCTATTTTCCATGTTAGAGTGATGAAGAGAATGTGCAATGGTTGCTTGGAATAGAGCAATGAATAGGCCAATGATTTGGAAGGCAAGTCTAATTGTCTAGATTGGATAATAGAAATATAGAATCATCCTCATTAGAAGTGTTATACCCTAATTTTAGGGAAGCGAATTGCAACCTAATCCAACAAATTTAATGACTCCAATTAAGTTGATTAAGTTGTGGTGGACTTTTTTTGTTTTGTTTTGTTTTTTTTTTTCCTTTTTAAAGCCTGACGATGCATCTTTGAGCTTGGATCTCTTGAAAGCAAAAAGTTGGAGAACACGGAATTTATCTAGACTCATGGGAAGGAATTCGGTTTCAGTGGCAAAGCCCATTTGAAYAGCCTTTATTGCCTTGCATTGAGAATATCTTCGTACTTATGTGCTTTATTTCTTGGGGAGATATTCCCAATGCAAGGTTAGGAAAGGCTGTTAGAATGGTGTGGGCACAGGTTTGCCCTGATGGAAGCTGATMTCCACGGGAAGATGTTTCTAAGGCTGAGTTTGAAAAGAGTACAAATGCAAATATGTACTGTGCAAATACATACAAAATAATGCAAAATATAAGGTTTTGCACTCCACATATTTGTATTTGTACTCTTTCCAAACTGAGCCTAATGTGCAATTAGATGTTTATGCTGTGTGTTTTACAAGTTTTTTGCTTTCAGGAGGAGATCCTGTCTAGGGCTGCAACATGGGTTGGGTTAGACTGAACACAACCTGAGGTGCCAAAYTTGGCCGAAAAGCTGGGTTGGGTTAGACCGAGCACAAACCAATCCTGGGTTGGGTTCAACAGTTGAAAATGTGTCCTCATTCTTCATTCTTCAATACAAGGTTAGCCAACTTAAGGTGGAGTGGATTTGTAAATTGTGGTTCAGTAGGTTTTTTACAGCTCATGGAATTTGGGAAAATATTGCTTTCCTCCAATTATGGAAAGGTTAAAATTGAAATATGTGCCACGTCAATTAGTAACTTATATATCAAAGGGAAAATTCCTGATTTATATCCTGTATTTCGGGCCTGGTGCCACTTTGGTCCTCAAACTTTAAAATGCAACAATTCAATACCCGAACTTTTAAAACGTGTCAATCTAGTATCTATCATTAACCAAATGTTAATTARCCATTAAGTGACATTTGAAAAAAGACAAATGTCCTTTGAGTGTCATCTAATTTTCTTTATCAATCATTCAAATGTTGACAAAAAATTAACAATCCCAAATCCCTTCTTCTTCTATTCAAGAAAGTAGGGGTTATGTCTCATTGGGCATTTCAGACCCCAACTTTCTTGAATAAAAGAGGCAAGGATTTAGGACTGTTAATTTTTTGTCAATGTTTAGATGGTTGATAAAGAAAATTAAATGACACTCGAAGGATATTTGTGTCTTATTCAAATGCCATTTAGCAGCTGGTTAATGGTAGGTACTGGATTGACACATTTTGAAAGTTCGGGAATCAAAGTGGCACTAGACTCAAAGTAAATCAATCTTATATGCTCCTTACAGCCTTTTAAACATTATGGTACTTGTATATTTTTATTTGTAAAAAGTATTCCCAATGCATAACTACAATAAGCTGTAAAAGCGGTTTTGTGAGGACAAAATCCAATTGATAAAGGGGGCTCTTACGTATCAATATCATTTCTTGAATAAAAAGGGCAATCATGATAATTAGCCAAAAGGATGATGATAGTGGAAAGGTTCACTGAGCAGGAGTATAAATGCATTCTTTCACTCTATGATAAAAGAAAAAAAAAATCAGAAATGTGATCATTACCTTGTTAAAAGGTACATGTTTCAAGGGACAAAGGACCACTTTTATTTATTTTTGGGTAAATTATGGTAATTTCTGTTGTACTTTAGGTGTGTGACACTTTGTCCCCTGTAGTTCTTCCTTAACTTAGTAATTCCATAAGAACTTTTCTCCAATTCTCAGCAATAAACAAATTGATTGTTTAGTGATATCATTCATGTTGGTTCCATCCATTTGTTTTAATAATATCATTCACAAATTAAGTTAAAAGATTATTTTCTATGTATTTGTATTGTATATATTTGTATTTATATTTTTTTTTAAATTGAATTAAAAAATTTTAATACAGCACATTAGATGAAATGGTGATAGAAGGGGTTGTTTGTAAACATCTTAGCATGAACACCAAAAGACTTATTTGTCATTATAAATAAGGTAGTTAAATGTTACAAAAAGAAATGCAAGGTGAAGGATCACATCCCCCAAATACAAATGCGTCCTCGTAATTTATCCTAAAATTTTTATCATTAATACAAAAGAAGGTATATCTTTAGAGCCCATTTGGTACGGGGTTTCTGTGTTAGAGGTGAGTTCAAATCAGCCCCCACAAGAATGCCCCCCACAACGTTCCACAGTACATCCCGCCAAATATTGGGAACATCTCTTGATGATAGTACCAAAAATAATAATGTCATCATCGAGAGATGTTCCCAATATACGATGGAGATGTGCTGTGGAACGTTGTGGGGGGCTGATTTGATCTTGTCAGAGGTGAGTTGTGATGCCAGAGTTGTTGTGGTTGAGCGCTCGCATTTCGGAGAAACTAACTAGAATAGTGAACTTCTTTGTATTATAATGATGTTATCAAATTTGGGTATTTCAAGCAGATATTTCTATACCAAGGTTCAAAATATTGATACGTCCGATACGCTGGTAGAGGCGTATTGGGCGATATCAATACTGTTTTTTATATATATATATTTTTATTTTTTTAGAAACCGTTTCAGGGGGGTCAATTTAAGGCTCCACCCCCTGAACCGCTCAGAACCCTGATACACCCACTGCAGGAGTGTATCAAGAAGATCCCAGAATGATACGTATCAACCAATATG